GGGAGAAAATTCCACCCTGTGACAGAGAAGGCAATGGAAGCAGCCAAGCAGCCTGGAGAGAAAAACTGGGACTGGTGTTTGGAGCAAGAGCCTGGGACTGATTAGGTAAGGAAACACAAAGGTGTTATGGAAAAAGCAGAGAGAAAGTGCTCAGCAGAGAAGCCTGGAGGGGAGAAAAGGGGCTGCCATGTCCAGAATGTCCAGAATAGCTGGGCTGAATCTCAGGTGAAACACAGTAAAAACTGTAAGTCAAAATGTTTTATTTCTGTATTGTTAACTGATGTACTTCAGCTTCTCTGTCAAGCATTAATGCTTTTTATTTTGAATAGAATTTGTTTTCTGATTCTGGAAAATAAAGAATTTAATGACCTTCACAATAAGTATTTCTGAGCAAATTCAGAACATTTTAAAATGATTTTTGTGTGTATGTGAGACATCAAGCTAAGGGAACATACTACACAGTCGGCACAAGCTGTAACAACAGGTACTCAAATGTTAGGACAACGTCTAAGCTGAGAGTTCCTAAGTTCTGTCTCCCTACACTGAGATACACGACCACAGAGAGTTCATTCCACCAATTTCCCAAAATACAAATGAAGCCCTGCAAGGTATGCCTTCTCTGTGGGCAGGGCACAAGTTCGTAGTTTTTATTCACTGTATTTCCAATTTGTCACAGAATTAGGTACTGTTCACAGACAAGGCAGACAATTATAAGGAGAGAAAGCAGGGCCTTGTGGCAATGTGACAGCTGCATTTTGTTTGTAGAATCTGAATCCACTCCCCTTTCACCTCAAAGCTTGTATAATGTGAAGAAAGTCACCACAAGATGTAATAATTACCAGAGATTTTTGTGTTATGGGAGCCCATCATGAAATTCTGGAGTTGGATTTACAGAAGAAAATTCCTATGACAAAATCCATGGGACTGTACATCGACAATGCCAAGGAATGCAGAATGTCAAACAGGCTGAAAAAAACAAGTAACCAGCATCTCTAATTGGATACTCAAAAATAGTGGGCACTTCTGACTTTAATCTCATTTAGTTGGAGCACAGATTTATTAACAAGGATAATACTCTCACTGCTTCAATTTTTTGTTGTAAAGGATGTTTGCCAAACACCCAGACAGTATTCATCTTGTGGCTGTGAGAGGAACAGCAGAAAAATGTGCTGGGTTCAAATTGGGATTTCTGTGCCCTAAACAAAACCTACAGAATCCCACACAGATAAATTCAACAGCAGAAACTAGCTCCTGTTAGCCCTGTTCCACGTACTACTGTGAATGACAAAGGGGTGCTCACAAAAATATCAAGCAGAAAAGTCCCACACCTTTTCAAATAATATTCTTGTAGGTTGTACATGAATGGATGAAACAAAGTTTTTGTTTTGTTTTGTTATTTTTGAAAAGGGAGGAAGTGAGGAAAAAAAAAGCAGAGGAACAAGCCCATGATGTCAGAAAACATGGAAAATATCAGTTTTGGGCATTCAGCCCAGCAACTTGTCTTTGGTTACTGCAAGATCTCTTTTTCTTTGCATTTTTTTTTTTTTAACATCCTTTCAGTCGCTTCAGAACAAACATTTTTTCCAATGACAAATTTTGAATTTTGAGGAAAGCTTCCCAGTATTTCCCAGAAAATTCTTGATCATCTCCAGGTATGTGAAGGTGCCATTAGGAGCTGCATGATAACACATCTTTGCAAGGGATTGTAACTGAGTGGTGTGATCAGCTCTCATTCTGTCACTTCCTACTGCTTTCTGCTGGCTTTAAATGTTTATAGACTCTGTAATTTGCTTTTAATTTGAGTGTGTATGTGTAAAATACTATATGACCATATGACCATGCAAGATTTATCTTCTACCTAATTTATTGCTGTTCTATTTCTTCCATTAAAGCATAAGTTTTTACATCCATTCATTGATTTTACATTCCATAGAATCACAGAATATCCTGAATTGAAAGGGACCCACAAGGATCATTGTGTCCAACTTGTGGCTCCGTACAGAACCAGCCCAAATCCAAACCCTATGTCTGAGACCATTATCCAATCGCTCCTTGAAGTCCATCAGCTCGAGACCATGCCCACTGCCCACTTTGGGTTTTTTTGCTCTTATAGCATGTATTTAATTGCTTGATTTTTAATTGCTTATATATTATTTATTTTAGCATTGACAGCTATATGTAGGGAACTGGAGTAAAGTCTCCAAAGTTTTCAGGTGGATGGAGGAACCATTAACCCAGACTGCTCTACAGCAAGCTGGATTTGCACAAGCAAGGGGCAATAAATAAATAAATAAATAAATAAATAAATTTAAAGTTCTGTTTTTTGTGTTACAGAGAAGTTCCAGAATCACTCTCCTTTGTAATGTAAAGATAGTAGCATGATCACCAGGCATGTGGTCCTGACCTCAGACCGAGGATCCTTGGCCTAGAGTCAGGCAGTCCCTGCAGTCACTGAAACAGCCAAATTAACTGTCTGTTTAGCCATGGATTAAAATTCATCCACTGATCCAAGACAGTAAGTGAGACAATAATTTGTGACTCCTACTTTGCTTCACAGCAGATCCTCATTTAGAATAAAGCTGCAGTTCAGCGCTGAGTTTTTATGCCCAGAAATAGTCATGATGGCATTGCAAAATCGTACCTGTAATAATTTGAACAAATGGGATAAATAAATGCAAATTTAAAAGGAGCAAATGGATCCAGTTTTCATTAATGCAGAGCCTGTTCAAGAGCAGGGGATAAAGATAGCTTCGGGAGCCCTGATACAATCAGCAGTCACTATTACTTTGAGTAGTAACTCATAACAAATAAAGTGCCATTTCCACTGAGTAAGGACCTCTTCAACATTGCTTTTACCACCACAACCTAACTCACTTCTTCTCTAGCAAATCACAGACTTGATTGAAATGTTGTAGAGCAAATTGCTTAATGCTTTCTAGAGACCTCAAATATGTGAAGTACCTAGTGAATAAACGTGACAGCTAATTTCAAAACCAAGGACAAAAAAAACCCAGCCAGCTAGAGAATAGAGGCTCTATCTTTTTTAATATTTCTACTAGATGCTGTACTTGGCCTTAGTGACAAAGCAATTATACACTCCAAAGTTCATCATTTTTATACTAACATACAAGACAGAACAACTAGCGCAGTCTCAGTTACGCAATGCAAGGGTGGCCATCTGCTGCTGAGGAACTGGTTTTGACCCAAATAACAGCAAGTGTTTGTGTGTCACAGACAGAAACTCAAGGTGTATTATCTGCATCTCCACTGAACAACATTAAAAATAAAACCAACAACTTCAAGACCTAGTATGAAAGTCAACTTAACGTAAAACAGTACGATTACTTCTGTGCTTGCATACCCTGTATCAGAAGCCTTTTCACACTGATAAATGTCCTCATCATAGTCAATAATAATTAAAAAAAAAAGAAAAAAAAAGCTTTTTCTTTTTCTCAGCATATCTGTCCAAATCAAAGATCTGTTATTTATGTCAATAAAGATTTACTCTTGCTTGTGATGATAATCCCATACCATCTCACCTCTGAGGTGACTATCTCTCAATGACGAGTGGATAGATCACTATGTAAAACTAAGTACCTACTTTGAGGTACAGTAATCTGACCGTACCTCCATGTATCTTGGAAGGCTCCAAAACAACTGTAAGGGTCATGATAAATCATTTGAGTATAAGGTTAATGCTCATTGCAATAGCATTGCAATATTTCATAGGTATATGTGCAAAGGCAAAGGTTTTATTCATAAATACACTGATGATATAATTGCCTTGGACCCTCCTAGCATAAATTTAGAGAGAGGAGTAAAATAAAAGATGACTCTAATTTTCTGGCTATGAAGATGACTTTTCCTACGAGCAGTGGCCGGTCCATCTTTGTCACACTCGGCATTACAAAACTCCCCACTCGCTCACCCGTATCACCACCAGAGAGAAGGTGAAAGGCAGAGCTGTCTAAGGAAGTAAATTTAAGATGATTAAGATAGTCTGGACTTGCTGTGTGGCCTCAGTAGTTCACTCATGGGAAGGCTTGCCAAGGCAGAAATGGAAGTTAGGCACCTAGTCCAACTCTCACAATCAAGAGGCAACCTCCCTAAAAGCAGCATGCCAGTCTTTCACTGAGTTTGAATTGTCAGAAAGAGCTGCAGTATTTAAACTACTTTCATGGTGAGGGAATTTTTCAGTTTTGGGATTATTTTCTTGGTCACTCATGGTAACTCCACATTTCTGAGAATAAGGAAAGTATACAGGCCTAGTTGTAACACTTCAGTAGAGAAGAGGCAATTGCTTGAGATCTAGCAGCTAAAATTTGTGGTTCTAGTTTTAGCTCTCCTTCCAAATAATAAAAATGTATTTAAAATAAATATCCATGATAAGATGTACTGACAACAATAATAAAACTGTGGAAATCTAATATATTTGAATGCTTACTATCAAATGGAGGCTACTGTAGAAGGAGTTACTGAATGCTTTCAGCATGATAGACATACTGATTTCCATCCTACAGCATATATGGGTATATATGGGCCGGGAGAACAGGGTTCAAGCCTCCATTTTCTGGAGGTGATGATGATGAAGAGAAGGTATGTAGAACTGTATGGAGAAGGATGAGGCTAAAGGTGAGACATTCTCATAAATACTGATGCCAAAAGGAAAAAAAATAGAAATGACTTCCGAAGCCATCAGAGAAATCTTGAACACCATGCTATTTTAATGATTTTGTTACTGTTATTGGAACCTGAAAATTACTTCTGTTCTTAATAAATACACATTTATTTCAGTATGCCTCACTAATACTTTAACACCCCTTTGATACCTGATTCATTAGAATGCAGGTGAACTTTGCCTAAATACGGAGAACTGTAAAGCTAATGTTAGCATCGTAATGTAAAAAGCTGAGAAAGAGCATTTTATAAAAAGTCTAAAATAAATTGAATGCCTGTATTTTTTTATTTTTTTTTTTAGTGGAAGATTACAGATCTGTAGTATATATATTTATCTAGTCATAAATGTACTAGCATTTTTAAATGCACTAATATTTTGAAACATGTGAGTGAATCAAGTAATAGACTGGAACAAAGCATATTATTATCAGTTCTGCATTCAGAGTCAGTTTGAAGTTAAGCAGACAAGTAAATTTGAACTCAGAAAAATAGATTTCTAGCCCTGTATATTTACTTCACAGCCACTTTTTTACGGTTTGGTAATACTTTGTTATGGCGGGAGAGCAACCTCTATTAATCTGAAAGTACAATGTAAGCTCCCTTTCTTCAGGCATAATTCTTCTTTGCCTGCATATTTGTATCTTCCCTACCTTTGATTTAGAAACTCTTATTCATCTCAGTACAGGTGGATATCAAAGTCTACTTTTTCTTCCGATTAGAATCTATTGGCAATTGCTCAGACATACCGGTGCCACAGATAAAAAGAGATTCAGATATTTTGTAGGGTGCTTGGTTCCTTGTGCAAAGATGTTACAGCCTTTAAGCTGTGCAGGTGGTCAGGCTGCCGGAGCTTCCCTCAGCCCCCTTCCTACAGAGTTGTCTTCTCTTGAAGGGAACTTGGAGGAAGACTCTTATCTTAGATGGCCTGACATCATCTTGTGCAATCTCTTTTCTCAAAGCTGCTGAATTCTCACTCGTACCTCTGAGGCACTGACTGTGCCGTCCATTTAAAGAATTTATTTATCCGTTTTTCATAGAATCACACATTATCCTGAACTGAAAGGTACCCATAAGGATCATCTAGTCCAAGTCCTGACTCCGTGCAGGATCACCCAAAATTCAAACCACATTCCTGAGAGTGCTGTCCTATCTATTTACTATAATAGGAACAATTTCATTCTGGACTAGTATGCTTCAGGCTCCAGATATCAACATCCAAAACAAGTCAAAGCTGTCTATGCTTCACATGGCACAAGAACTTTTACTCCTTCCCTAAAGAAAACATTCTTGTTGAATAGGAAATGATACACTGGATCATACAAATGGTCCACCTACACAATGTACACTGCCTGCACCGGCTAGAATCTGATATGACCAGGAAAAATGTTGAAACTACACTATAATCAAGTGGAAATCCTCCTGGAGGACTTACTTTTGTTTTTAAGAACAAAATAATGTCCCTTGCTTCAGTTAGGGGAAAAGCTGATTGGCTTTTATTTGATGTTGGAACAGGACTGATACATTGATACAAAGATACTCAGAAAAGTGAGTTTATAATATCCACATTGATTTAAAAGAAGCCTAAAATTAAGGCTGTGTAAGCACCATGGCAGGTTTCTGTTTCTATTTATTTGTTTTTCCACATTAAACAACAAATTCTTATGCCAAGAGCCAAAGAGCAAAATTTTACATTCACTGAAACCAAATACATTTTAGAAGAATAAATTATAGAATTGGCTTTTGTTTCTAAAGTCTCTATCATTTTATTCAGCAAAGGAATTGAGAAGATGACATGATCAGCAGGTAAGAAAAGCATCTGTGGAGATGGTGGTTGTTATTACTGCTGGGTGAACATGATACTTATGGAACATGTAAGAAGCTTTCTGATCTCACACTTCAAGATTCATGATGTGCAAACACTTCTGGGACTCCCATTGATTTAACTGGATCTTGAATATTGACATAATAAACCAGTACTAAAAATGCTAAAAGTTCTGCTTGTGGATAGCCTGGACACTCAGTGCTGCTTGCCTTAGGCCCATGGTTAATTTTTAACAACGTGGACACAAACCAATGACCTGTGCTATTGCTCAGGAATGTCTGACCACTCACCGACTCCCAGTTTCAACAGAACGGCCACTATACTGGAACTTACTGGTACTTAAGGACGCACCCAGTTCAAACTACACCCTCCTGTTACTGGGATGAAAGGAATATTGTTACTTTGGAGTGAAAGCACACTGAGATATGTGAAAAGTTTGCTGAAGTTAAAAATGAAATGGGTTCCAGTTGTTATTTCTTATTACTTTTATAAAACTGTTTTAATAAAGATGGAACATTTAGACTGAATGCAGCAAAATGATTACTTTAGCTTAAAAGAACAACACAAGGAAAAATATATAAGTAAATTAGGACAGTTGTTGTAGAAATATGATTAAGATCTGTACAAGTAATAATACGACTGAAAAAAAAAAAAAGATGTTCTACTGATTTTAATTTATTTGTGCATAGCAATTTGTAATTAAAACAAATCCTATTTGCTGCTTATTTACAACTTTATCATAACAGGACCATAGAGCTGAATTGTATTAGGTGATTTTTATGTTTTTTTTTCTTTCTGCTTCTGTGTACACACCTAAATCATGAAGGGAAGATGAGAGCACTAGCAAAATCCAAACACTTTATTCAAAACAAAAAATGTAATTGTTCAGAAATAGGCTATTGACTTTCACTGGGTTAAACAGCTCATGTAGTGATTAAGCTTGAAGCTATAATTGTTCTTGTCACCCAAACTCTGCTCAGTCAATATCTTTTTATCATATACATTTTTAATCACATATTAATAAACAAGAAGGTGTGCTTTATTGATGCCTGGATTAGTTTATTGACCAACTCAACAACTCTATGTATGGTTTCTGAACACAGAAACAAGGTCAGTGTGTGAAGATGAGGAATAGTACATTCACCATCTTTAATATACTTCATTCTAGCAGTCCTCTTGTAAGGTGTTGCAATCTCTACAGTTTCTCCAATTTTTTAAAATAAATTATTTCATATTTGAAACTGCTTCAAAGTTAAAGCACATTTTGGGTTGAGCTTTAAGAAATATAACCACGAGTTTCTTTAATACAACATGATTTTGACACCTTGACACTAAATTATTTGGAAACGTTTGGGAAATCAAACTTTCATGTACTCGTAGATTCTTACAAAATATTGTTTATTCACTTATATTTCTGAAAGCATCTACGCTTTTCAGATTCTCCTAACAACTAACTCTGCTCAAACTTCTTATTCATTCCTTTCTTTTCTCTATGAAGTGCTACTGTGAACATTCCATAACAGTAACTCAGATTTGGAAAGAAGGCCTCTAAAACAACTATATAAAATTAACAATTAAGACAGTAATAGAACATGACAGTATTTTTGTGTGTTCCTTCTCGTCAGACAAAAGCTGCGTATAGGAACTCACATTTCCTTTTTTTTTTCCAACTCGTTTTTCAAAAGGATTAGAGATAGATCTTTTCATCAGTATTTGCACAAAATACTGTTTTGCAATAGGAAAGTATTCAATTGAAAATGTTTTGATGATTCTGTCTGTCAGATGCTCACGTGATATCCTAAAAGAAGAGTCGTTTGGAAACAGAGCTGACTGCAGCATGTGTGAAAGTACACATCAGCCAGACACAAAGATGAAGTCTGCTTCCAACCTGAAGCTCACAGCCTCTAAATCCAGCTCAAAGCTCTTCTCCTTAAGGTATGAACTTAAAATAGGCCAAAATGATTACTCACTACAGTATCATGTATGAGTATCCCTGATTTTACCAATGTCTCACATACCTGAATTAGGTAATGACACGTCTTAAAGAAAATACTTTTAATCTCTGTTTTCTCTAAAACCATACACACAGGCTGCACTGCTTTGCTTTCCCACTGCACACTTCTTCAGGTGACTTGCCAATGGGCTCCATTATCTACTGCACAGCACTGCTCACAGTAACAAGAAGTTGTTGGAATAGCTCTCCGCACCTCTTTTTCTCACTCAAGAATTGTGTTTCATCTTTGTCCTCTAAGTACAGCATTATCAGCTACATTTTCCATGCAGATTCACTTGTGTAGTATCTGGCAATATTTCTGCTCCTTCTGAGCCCTTTTCTGATACTGTCTAGATTTACACAATTTTTCTAAGTAGAGGGAAGAAATATCTTAGTTCAATCAAGTAGTGCTTTCCTGTGCCTTTGACTACAGAGTTCAAAAGGCGTACGTCTTTTGTTTTCTTTTGCAAGTGCTACTCTATAATCCTCAAGCTGTGGTGTTGGGAAAAAAGTTAATAACTATGTACACTGAAGTGAAAATAGCTAGTGTAACATGAAGAGAAACTTGCTAGTATAGAACAAAAAGCAATACAGATGAGCATCGGTACCAAGTGCAGGCAAAAATCCTGCAGATGACTAACACACTGGCAAAGCCATTCATATTCACATGAACATTGTATAAGTGCCAAGTGCACCAAGATGTTGCATAGGAGTTCTGGTCATGTAAGGTAAAGCTTCCCAGAGGCATCCTTTAATTGGTCTAATTTTCTCTGCCAAACACCATCAAAGTTCTAGATGTTCAGGCCAGGTCTTGTCACTTTACTATTTCATCACTTTCTGGATTATCTACTCCCAGCATAAATGCTCTCAAACACATTTGCTGCCTGTATGTTGCTCTCCCTTTCACATGCATAGCCACCTACACACCTCTTTCTATAAGAGCCTTACTGAACTCTCAGAAATAGAGACAGGAAAACAATGGAGCCTAAACTGCTATTCAACCTCAGCAGGTAAATGGATGTCCAGACACTTCCTAATTTCAAGGGTAGGCACAGAAAATCCTCCTAGCACATTAGGAACACAGTCCACTCTACTTCTGTTAATTTCCCCCCTCCCCCCCCCCCCCCCCCCCCCCCCCGGGGGGTGGAGGCAAACACACACACACAAAACTAAATCTCAAGTCAAGGGAAAAAAAAACCCACAACACAAGCTTCAGGTTGCATATGCTACTCCATACTGTCAGTGCTTATACATAGGAAGCATATGGAGCTAGGTAAGCAATAACATTTCTGAGAAAGTTATTATTAAAGGGAAGACAACTGCTAGAGCCAGTTTACGAAATGACTGAAATGAGTACAGCACTCAATGAATGTCTGTTTTCCTTAGTAGGAACACACAAAATCACGCCAGCATGGGATGACTCACCACAAATAGGTGGGTTTGACTCTTGGCTCTGACATTGACATATTGCATGGCCTTAGGCAAATCCCAAAACATTTGTTTTTACTTCTCCACTTATGTGATCTGGATAATACTTATATACCTAAGGGGGGTATTTTAAGATACAATATGTTTAAGATACTACAAAGATTTTAAATGCTGTAACATAGCTATGCCTCATTAACAACGTCAAGCTAAAATAAACACTGGGATGATTTAGGTAATGTGGTACATGTTCCTGGAACCGGGAACTTTGCTGAACAAAGAGCAAAATCTTCAAAGAGCCAGAGGTAAGGGAAGGCACAGCCCACTGCAAAGCTGAAGTACTTTGCAAGGGTGGATGAATTTATAAGAGAGGAAGAACAAGTTTGTTTAATAGGCAAAAGTTCAGTCTTCATTAGTATTTTAAGTGGTTGGGCTGAACTGAAAGACAACACAAGCTCAGAGGTGGGTGAATAAAACAAACGTAGGCTTCATTTATCCACACGTATTGAAGTTAGAGAGGATTTTGCCAGGATGAGACCTGACAGTTTGTTCCTACTGCCTACACAGTAAGAAAATTATTAAAGTATCAAAAGAGATACCTTTCATGCAAAGCTTCCTCTCATGTTGTGAAGGGCAGTTCCCTCTGAAACTTTGAAAGGTGTTCTGCAAGGATCACAGTACTGCTTCATGTAGAAAGGATCACTCTTATCCTGTGGGACTTATCAGTAGGTCAGAAATCAAGGTGCAGTGCAACATGCATTGGAAACCCTACTGAAAGAGAAGGCCCTGGATAGCGATCCCTTGGCATGTTAATTGCACTTAAGGAATGCTACCAGGAAGCAGGAGTGAGGTATGCAGTACAGACAGAACTGAGGGGCCACAAAACTCTGCCTCAAGAGTCTGAGCCCGTCACCACTGTTCTTAAATCCTACTTGCATTAGAAGGAATACATTGCTGGGCTATGCCAGAGAGAGGCAACTCCAGCCCACAGCATAACAGGTGGTAGCACAGCATTATCACTTCTGAAGTTCTCTTACTTTTTTGTCTTCTCCAAGATGTTTTGGCACTTAGGACCTAAAAGAATAGTGAGAGGAAGTCTGACAGTGTGGAGAGTGGTATAAAAGGATGTGAAATCAGGTTAACCACTGTGAAAGTAAGAGGGAAAAGCTTGAGCTGTGAGGAAGAAAAGAAGCTGAAGTGGATGTTCTTGGAGTGAGGAAGGATAGACGAGACTTATCTTCAGAAGTGATCAGTGGCAAGGAATAAGTACAACAACAGCAGTAAACTTTGAAGTATCAATAAGTGAGATTTGGGACAGTTAGTGCCAAGATCTATTTTTTTCATTAGATGTTACTGTTTCGGCATTTCAGTAAACATGAGAAAACAAGCTGAATGAGTTGTGATTTGGAGTGGGCCTCCAGCTACTGGAGGTAAACCACTGTCCTTTTTACTGTGGAAACAGGAAGGGACTGAGGGTCTGGTCTGGCACCCAGTCCAGCTCAGGTTAGTTTCACAGAAAGGAACCCTGATTGTGACTTCTGAGACTGCACAAAGACGTGAACAAAAGTGTTGCCAGTGGAGAGATCTGAGAGACTTTGGTGCACTTTCAGTCCTAAACAGAGCACTCAAATAGCACACTATGTAGGAATCAGACACTCTGGACTTGCCACACCTCATAAATCTACATCAAGGTAATTTTTAAATTTCTACTACAGGCTATTCTGCGATAGATGACACAACGAATAGGGCAGTTTCTATACTTCATACTGCGTCTTCATATCTGTCATATTTACTACTTAAGACGTCTCTAAAAATGGGCACTGACTCTAGAATGCAGTTTGAGACACTAACATATAACTGGATACAGAAGTTTCTCTCAGCAGAAATCAGTTTTCAAACTGAAAATACTTACACCCAGTACTTCATTGATAGACTTCATTTTAGAGACACAAAATGAAATTCATATTAAACTAACAAAGCTAATACATTTTTACTACATCTGCAGACCACAGAACACTTTGCTTTCAAGAAAAGTTGAATAAATCACAGAGCTTTCTTAAAGAGACTTCTCCCCTTGTCTTCAGAAAGTCTTTAATGTGACATCTGTCCCTGCACTGTCACCTCTTTTAAAACTAACAAATGCATGACATATAATACAAGATTTATAAATTAAAGAAACCCACCCCTTTTAAGTAATATTCTTTAAATCTCAGTTTCTGACAGTCCTCCTATTTGCTCACTAACTGTAGTAGGCGTATTTTTCAGAAAATAGTGAATAAAAACTGACAAGCTATCGGGGGAATCTGAATGCATAATTGATAGGGGCATAAATTAATATGATTAGGCCTTTATTGGGTGCCACTGCTGCCAAACCTACAAAAGGGGCATGGAATAAAACATGGCTATGTTCTCAGGGCTGATAGACATCAATATGTAATGCATATTATCTCAAGCCTTCTCATGTACTCTGCTTATGACAGCACTCAACCTAATTGAAATTTTTATCTTTCTGTTGCATACAGACAGTTTTGACTAGGTGCTTCCAGGGAAAAGAGAGAAAACCAAATGACCCAAACGAAGGTTTCTCTGCAGAGGTATATACCCCGCTAGCAAACCACTGTAAGATAGCTTTCTACTTGTTAGCTTTCTAAAGTCATCTTCAGAAAGCTGTGTTAAAGGTATCCCAGGACTTGGATACCACTCCCCCATTTAACTAAACTTAATAGTGCGTTTCCCTAAAATTAAGAAAAAATCAAATGATTGCTTTGTAGAAATCAATATACTGCGTGCTCACTTTAGCTGAGGTTTTGCTTACTACAGTTTTTGTGTTGCATACATTTAGCTTAGGAAGAAATTATTTTCTTTCGAATAACGAACTTCTTAAAACTATTCTACTTCAGATCTGTGATGGAAAAGTTTAAAATTAAGAAGAGTTTCTTGAAATGACAGCCTTCATGTCTCTTCAAAATACATTAGCCAGCTGACACAGTGTCATCCGATAATTCAAAAATATTTTCAACTTTTTCTTTCCTTTTCAGTTATTAACTATGAATTCCCATCCATCCTGTAAAAAGCCATTCCAAAAAACATGGTATCTGACAGTAATAAAATGTTTCAAGCATTTGCTATAAATGAGAATTCATCAATATGCACTTTTCCTAAAGGGTTTTGCTTTGACAAGTCAAAGTTGATTAAAAGGTTGCACAGTTAATATTTTGCTCTTTATCAAAAAGTTCTGTACTGCTCAAGTGTTCCTGAGAATCTATGCTGCAATTACTAAATACTTTTATTACAGTAGTGCTGGATGTTGTACAAATAAGATAAGGAGTCAGTTTTTGCTCCATTGTTTACAGTCTAGAATGGGATTATCCCTGGAGTAAGAAACATTCAACCTGTAAAAATCAAAGTAAAACACAGAAAGAGGCAGAAATGGGTCCAACACATCACTTTAGCTTCATTGAAACTCACTTCCAAAGACACAAGAAATAAATCTATTTTTCTTTTCTTTTCTTAATTTATTTCTGGAATATATTTTAAAATCTATGCATTCAGTTTAATAAATACAAATCATGTTATTGGTTATTTTTATGCTATGAAGACAAAGACATCATAGGTAAAAAATGACTTTCTCCTCTTAATGGACAATGTTTCACTCTCCTAACTCATTGCTTCATTATCATAAACTGTAGGGCATGCATAAATATGAAGAGGCCACACGTTTTATAGATTAAAGAATGACACACAGACTTCTGAAAGATCCATGTTCCTGCACCTGTTATGTCAAGTCATTTATTTATTTCAGAGTCTATAGAGCACTCTTACATTCATTTTATATCTGCTACTGGTAGCTGCAAGTTCAACACATGGAACCAACTTGGTATGATGTCCTTTACTTCTTTATATTACATACAAAATATTGGGACATGTTATGGAACACATAGCGAGAGTTGGTACCTAGGGAATGGAAAAAAGAAGTCTTGAACTTTCCCTCAAACATCTTGGAGAAACTCAAAGTCTTCTTCTGCCCTAACATGGATTTGTCTTATAAATGAAATTTTAATGAAGTACAATTTGAGAGCCTACTACTACGTGGTTTCAGAGCTGTTCATTCCCACTTTGATGCTCTACTGAAAAGGTACTAGCATGGATCCTTGTTCAGCAGGGAGATTGGAGTGATTTGTAGCTGTGGAGATTTCAGAGTAGTAAGCTTAAGTTGTTTTATTATTTTGATTCTTGTAACTTTTTTGTGCTAGGTAGGAATGCCAATACTTACAGTTCACTGGCTAGAAAGAGAATAACAAACACACTGAACTCATTAGTTAGAAAATTGAATCTCTTCAAGGGACGGCTTCTAAACTTTCTTATAATGATATTTAATACCTGAAAAGTTTCTCTCTAGCACAGCTTGGACTTGCAACTACTTTGAGCAGTTCTGAAGAGAGGAATTACTGTGACTCAGAAAAACTTCTAGTGATTTGCGATACAACTTGAACATCTTGTAAGATCGATAGCAGAACGATGTCACAATAACAACAGGCATTGAAAGACAACAGATTAAAGTGAATTTCAGGAGATTTAAAAATAACCTCCTTTTTTAATGTCTATTTTTCAGTGGATCTGCTCTTTCTTGGGGCCTCAACATGGACCAGTTCTTTAATTGGTAGAGTCTGCAGCTCAAGACAGTAATTAGGTCACTCAGCTTTCTTCTTTACTCACTGATTTACCAAGGCTTTCTGTCTCACCACAATGCTTTGTTTCATCCAGTCTTTTCCCAAGACCCAGAGACATCACTCACCCACTGGAGGAGCCTGAAGCAACATCTCTTCCAGGCTTTCTCCTCTAGAAGATTTCGGATACTGCTAGTATCACCAGAGTGTATGACAAAGACAAGCTACATAAATCTTAGGGTCAAGATGTTGTCAACCAGAACACTAATATCAGAATGATCTCACACAAAAGTAAGATGATTAGGACTTTCATAGAGAAGTAATGGTGGTGGGGCTAGTTGTTTTCTGGGTGTGGAATTACATAGGTTCTTTGTAACTTTCAGAGTATCTGGTAATTTCTGATGATCAATCAAGGGATTTTTCAACAGTTCAACTTCATATGCTTACTTATGAAAAAAAAGAAAAAACAGGAAACCGTGTCCTGGCGTAATTTTGGTGCCACTCTAAGGGCGAGACTTTCCTGATGCCTTATCTTCTTTATTATATACCAAATTTCTTACTTAGCCAAAAAAGATTTGAACTGTGTTTCAGAGGATGTATTTAGATGAGCCTTGGTTTTTAAGATGAATATTATGTGGGGGTACTGCCTGTTTAGAAAACTTTTAAACTCTCCATTTGGGACTGGACACTACAAGGCTATAAAAATGTGTAATAATACACATAAAGTCTATATTATTGGCCTCGGCAGCAGCCAACAAACATAAGCCCAAGAAGTATGTATCATATAGTGCAGAAAAAGAGAGAATCTAGCACTGTTTCATTAGCACTAAAGTGAATGACTACACAGAAACTAAAAGCAGTACCTGTAGCATAACCATAGTAAATCATAGACAGTAACTAGCACATGGTACCTTTGCAGGATAGAGATGGATTGCTATCCCTGTTTGCAGAAGGGAAAACTGAGACCCAGGGAACAAGGGATAAATTTCCACAGATGAATGACACCTGAGGACTCCAAATCTATTCATATTTTTGAGGTCTGCTCTACCCTCAGAAATAATATTGTGAAATGTCAAACAGGATTTTAAGAAGAGGTTGCTGAAGTTCCGGCCCTAAATCTCCACCGGACCACCTTGCAGGCTATTGGCAGAAATCCTACTATGCTTACTGTTGTCAAGTAACTAGGGCTCTTCAAGAGGCTTGAACTTGCCTTAACTTAGCAAAGTAAACTCTCTATGAAGTGTCAGCATACCCTCTTCTCACTGCAAAGCCATTTGAGGAATTTCAACGTTGTGATATTTCCAAATTATCAAGTTGAAATACTTTACATGTTAGTAAAATGCATTGTGCCGACCATGCTTTAACAAAGATCATTTATCATCTCTGGAAAGTTGCTGAGTAAATCCTTTTGACTTTGTGCTATCTCATTCATCCTTGTTTCAAATAATGTAATTCTAACATTGTATTGATATTCTTTTTGATTTTTTTCCTCGTTTTCAATTTAAAACTGGGTTATAAATACATTTCAGGCCACTAAGTTTTATTTTTGTTTTCTTATGGAACTATGCAGAAGATGTGCTCAGCTATATTGATCTCTGAGGAAATGTGGACGAGGTAGATAATGTGAAACCTTTTTGTCATTTCTAACAGTTATATAGGTTGCGGAAACTTTCAGTGTTTGGCTGACTAGATAAGTTGATGCATTCACATTTATTTGATTGGAAAAGTATGGGAAGTAAACTTTGACTCCCTATTTTCTGTATGTTATTGATCTTTTGTGTATTAACACTTTTCTAGTAGAGAAAAGGAATTCATGATTGTGAGAGCAGAAACATTCCTTTCTTTCTGCTAGACTCTTTAGAAAAGAAAAGGGACATAAATTAAGAAGGGACAATGGAAGGGTCATAACGCAAAATACTGAACGTTTCCACCTATAACCTTCAAAAATAGGAGGAGAAAGATATTACAGCTCCTGCATCTCTCCCATCTGTAACAGATCCTTCCTAACTTTCCCTGGTCTAGCATAGCTGCAAGCTGCAGGTACTTGTCAGGCTTTGGCTCAGTTCCAGGAGCAACTGAGTATATTGGTATATTCAGCTTAGCTGGGATACCAGGAAGGCTTTTAATGTTTATAAGCAACTGGTATAGGAATTTGTCTAAAAGGTGGGTGAGTAAAAATGCAATGAGTCCTTTCCTAGTGAAAAGCAATCACCTCATTTTTTTTCATTCTAGTTCTTCCCTGATTGCTCATCATGTTTCAGCTCAGTCACTTTCTCTAAGTTTCCAGAAGGAAACATCCTCCTGACTTCTTGAGATTCATACGAGCCTCTGCAAATCAGATCTGGACTCTTAACTCTGAGTCCAGGCTCTATGTCCTCCAGCAACAGAGATCTTGTATTCCTCTTGCTTCACTTACTCCCAACCCTGTGTAGCTTACTGCCTTCTCTGAGCCCACTCAACCCTCTTGCCTGGGAAGACAATGCATTTAAGAGGTTGTTGTTTTTTTTTGAAAACATAAAATCATACCTTACTTTGTTGATTTGGTTTACAGCATGAACACGAAGAACAGCTGGATAGGCTTAAGTGAGGCAGAAGGATTTTTTGACAGTCAGGATCATTTAAACTACAACCGCTGTGACAACGTGAACAATTCATGATATTTCTGCTGTATCCACTCAGTTTGGGGAAGCTGCAGAGAGACCCTAGTGCTGCTACCTTCACCTGGGGCCTTTCAGAACCAGCTCCATTCAGGGCCAGGCTGTCAGAGACAGCATCCCAGTAGAGAAGGAAAGGAAAACTGCATCTATTCTCCCACAAGGAGGCTTTGCAACTGAGACTCACTGACTCCTTGTTACCGCGTGCTGCTCTCCTTGTGATTATACAGGTATGGAAAAGTGGCTCTTGGCACAGTGTCTTTCCAGACAATCTCACAAATCCTCTAAGAGCATTTATTTTAGCAATTCCTCTTTTTTTATTTTTCCCCCTCAGTCATACAAACTGGTGTGAGACTTTGTCACTAGATTATTTACATTTTTAACATACATACATATATATATATATATATATATATATGCATTTGGCTTGTCCTGGTTATTTTGTTTCTACCCATGTGCTCAATTTCCTTTCCAAGTTAGTTCCTGACTTGCAAGACAATTCCTCATAATGATGGTGATTGTCCTAAAGATCATCTAATCACAATAAATCCTGCACAGACTATGAGCTCTGTCCTGCCCTTGGTGACCTCTTACACATTTGAGCTTCACATATAAGCTTAGATTAGTACTTTTTAAAAAATTCATTCTTATTCAAAATTAAACAAATCTCTGCCACGATTGCTAAAATTGGCAGACAGAAGCACAAAAAAAATTTCAAGTAAATTAAAAGTGAACAACTTGTGCAAGTAAGCAAATAGATGAGACACAGCTCATACAACCTGGAACAGTCACCAGCTTCAATTGGCTGTACCAATTCATATTGTCCAAGAATCTGGCCTAATGCTAAAAAATGTTTTGTATGTGTTAGAAAAGGTGGGTGTGTAAATTATAGCTGCCCCTATGACACTTTAACTTGAATGACCAGTACTTATTCAGTCAACTACAATAGGTCTCACTGTCCTCGGCAGAATTACAGGGGTAATTTTTTTTTTTTTTTTTTTTTTAACATGGATGAGCAGCCCTTGAACAATTTCTCCAACATACTAAGCATGAACAGGCTTTTCTTCAACATCAGGTGCACGTCTTCTCCTCACATTTATTTTTCTCCAACACTCATATTTATCATGGTCATTACAGAGAGAGAGAGAGAGAGAGAGTGTAAATCTTCCCTTCCTACAAATCCATGTCTTCTCCTCCATCCCTCCTATGGGAACACCACAAAACAAAGGAGTGACCTCATTTCATATATCTGTCTAGTTTTATTTATTTATATTATCAAAGATGACATCCACTGTTAGAGTATATAGCTACAAATTCCTCATACCTCGCAAGTAAACTTGTGTGCAAAATACAGACAGGCGGTGATAAATACTGTACCGAAGACTTGAGTATTTAGATTACTAATGACAACAAACCTCACTTGCTCCAAAGGAGCTTACAGTGCCCAGAAAACTGAAACAGAACCAAAAGAAAAAGTAGAAAAACTTTTCAGGGCCTTGGAATACACTCCTCTTGATATAAAGAACTTCAAAGTGATGAAATGGGAATGTATCTTCTACATAAGAATGATTGCAAAACAGGACTAATACATAAGAGAACATATTACCTCATCAAATTCTCCATTTTAGGTCCTTATTTTCAAAAAGAGAATTACCATCAGTTAATGATAAAAAAAAAGGAAATTCATTACCTTTGAAAGTAAGGGTTTCACCTTTTTAAGTACAGTAACGTTTTTACCTTTCTGAAGTGTTTATTAATTTATTAGAATAAATTCCCTTATATTCATACATATTCCTTAGGTAATACAGTATTTACCTTTACAGAAGAGGCTACTGAAAATCCACAGAAAAGAAATTTACAGATGCATCATGAAGTAGAAACAAATGTTTTTATTCCACATACAAATAAAATATTTTTAGATTTGGATTTTTTATTACCTCCTTTGCAGAAAAGGTTATTCTGAGCCTTATCCTGCTCTTTCTCCAAAGTTCAGAAATAAGGCTCAGTGATATTAGACATATGGAAAGACTGCTAGTCTACACAAAGTAGCATATTGAAAGAAAAAGCCTTCATTTTCTTGGACGAATTCTCATTTAATTATTTGAGACTCGTAACTTCCCTTTTCTTTAAGTAGTATTCCTTTAAGTATGTCTTCTCAGCTCAAGTGTCAGATCAATTAATTTTTTCTCTCTTTGTTTGCTCTAGAGGAGACTTCTTTTATTACAAGAAAAGAAAAAAAAACGTACATATGTGATAGTAACTTTAATTATTGAAGGTTTTTGACACCACCGATGAAAATGCTTCCTACAAAGTCAGCTTTGAGCATAGCCAGTGACAATACTGTGAAGGTCAGTGTTCAGATTAACATGCTCACTGTAAAAACACACGGCAGATTTTTGTACTAATAAAGATAGTAACGTGTGAACCAACTGAAGAAGTGAAAAACATCCAGAATAATTAGAAGCCTCTGATATCAAGTAACTTAACAAACTTCCTTGGGAAGCAGAAGCCTAAAATTTATGTCCTTGCCTGTTTCATATAATCCGAGTTAGATTCCAAAAAGCCTCTTTTTTTTTTTTTTTTTTTTTTTTAATTTAGTTCCTTCTCAGACAGTTGTCAGGAAGAATTTCGATTGATGGAATAGATCCCTGGTATCTCCCCTAGTATTGCACACATTGCACCCTGGCATCCTGATTCTTCTCACCTCTCAGGATGTAAATCAAGGAACATTCACAGAAATCAGCAAGAATTGGGCCCAAGAGCTTTCAGTGTATGATTGAACTAATTTTTGGCTGGCAGACTCTTATGAAAACTGATTCGTGTTTTTCACAAATCAGTTCAGTGACAAGTAAGTCCTCACACACCAGACATTAGATGGGGAATTGGGCAGTTCTTTGCACCAAAGGAAAAGAAAAATCATGCTTTGATACTGTCACCATCATGTACCCATTCAAGGCTGAAAAGGAGGATGAATAAAGATAAGCATGAGACTTTCCTAAGGCAGCTGACAATACGTTGATAGGAATAGACATTTTAGAAAGAAATTAGATCTTCTGGGGGGAAAAAAAATGACTTCCTCTCCCTCAATTTTATGTTATACACACTCATATATATACGTAACTATGAAAGGACTAAGAAAGGAGTGGTAACTGATGAAAGAGAAGTTGGTGAATATGCTTTGAAAGAGATTCTGCAATCCATTTATTAAAACATAGAGAAGGCCTTTTAATACAGTTCTTCCCTGATTTGTCCTCTGACTTTCAATCACCTCTTTTGAAAGACCACTGTCCTGGAGAAAACACTTCCTCAAGTGTTTCCTTTCAAGAAAAAACTCAAACTCTATTACACTAAGTAAATCAAATCCATCCTTTAGATGTCTTAAACCAAAATGAAACAACAGAAATCTAGACTTTTTTTTAATAAAGAGTTCAGTAGAAGAGACCAAATGTTCTGTATCTTTGTCACTTGCCATACATGGATTTGATTGATGCTCTAAATTCTCTAAATTCTAAATTCTCTAAATTCTAAAAGCTCTAAATTCTTGTGGGGTGAAGCCTCATGTATTTTTACACATCTTGATTACTGAGAGCAGTTTACTCTTACGCAGCCAAAAAGCATAGCATAAGGAACAAATAGCATTGGAGGATGGAAAAAAAAAATCTGTCCCTTAAGCAGTAATAATTGGATTTGAGGCTCACTCCAGCACAAATTAGCATTCATGGCATCCGGCCCATGGACCAGATGCTGTAGGACTTTGGGTGAGTTTGGTAGTGTCCAGTTAATGGCAGAAAATGACTGTTAAGGGAAGAATCAAAGATTAGGGAGAATAGCAGTGCTTTCACATCCACCTCACAGCATTAAGGACTAGTGGGAGCTAGGATGTTTCTTGAATCTGATGGAGATAGCACTTTTCTTCTGCAAAGGTCAGGAAAAAAAAAATCCACTGGTCTACAATTTTAACTTATTTAAAGAAAAGCAATTCAGGTTTGATTCAACCTAACATGGCAGAACTCTTCTTCCAAGGAGTGGAAGGACACATTACCTCCTAATTTGGATTAGCTCCTTTAAAAAGGTTATCTGCTATATGAACTACTCTATCATTTCAGGAAATTCTACCTTGTTCTACAGTTGTAGGCCAATTTGGCATACTAATACTACTGGCAAATTAAGAGAATCCCAAAAGCCATGGAACATTTTGTTCCATGAGAAAAATTAAGGAAGGCATGGCTAAATATATATATATATATATATATATATATATATACATACATACATATACATACATACACACACACGCGCCATTTCAGAATCCAAACCATTCTTTCCAGTAACTTATAATTGTTTCAATATTTGTAGGGAATTCTGTATCTTTAGGAGAGATCAGGCCTGGTGAACTAGAACAACACTGCATGATTGTGCACACTTTCAAAATCGATGTGAAAGTTGCCTACAAGCAGCGGAGTTACTGGAGTCTTTGTTCAGGTAACATTCTTTAAAATGCTACGTTCTTTAAAATGCAAATGTCAACATTGTCATCAGAACAACAAAGACATCCAACACCAAAGCTGAATGATCTAAAATAAGCGAGAAACACTGGGAGTCAAACACTTAGCTGCTGTGAAGGAGCAGAGAAATACAGTATGAAATAAATCATAACCAATGAGATTTAGCAATGAACAGATTCCCAGTGACACCTTTTATTTGGCCTTCTAAATAGAGGAGATACACAAAACCTCATTTCAGTTCTGTCTTTCCTTCACTTCTGGATTTGCTGATTTCTTTGATCAGCCTGTTGTGTTGATGCTGAGCAGAGCTACTTTGGAAATTTTCCAGCAAAATACTGTTGGTTTTAAAGTGGACAGTGAAACACTACCTGTCAGAAAAGTTCAAACATTTGAACAGCTCTGCAAACACTATGGCTAACATTTTACTTGGAAAACATTTAGAGTTCCCTAATGTTTGAGGAGGGAATGAACATCCCTCTTCCTCCGTCAGCTGTAACTTTAGTATTCAGTAAGCACCCAGAGTTTACATACAGTTCACTTATCCATTTTCAAAGTTCTCTCCTTAAAAAATGAAAAAGAAAAGAAATGTAATCTTCAGAGGAAGCCTTACAATCTTATTTTAATTTTTACTTAATAAATCCTGTCTGAAACAGAGCTTTTAGAAAGAGATAATAGTTATGATTTAATCAACAGCCATTTGAAATGAACTTCCCATTCTATGTGCAACATGAATATCTCAGGAGAAAAAAGCACAGAATGATCTGAAATTATGAAAATTTCCACACATTCCATATTATATAATTTTATATCATAATTTGCTCCATGTCAATCCATTTGCTATGGTACCCTTAGCTAAGAATCACTTAGCATGTGATGGAAGGTGGGAGAGGGAAGAAAAGGAATGCTTAGCCCTGAGAGCATCAGCTCCAGTTGGGGCTTACGCAACCCAAAGGTAGAAGATTAGAAAACGTATTTAATAAAAAGAAAAAAAAAAAAAAAGGATGGGAGACAGACACAAGGATCCACAAGAGTCCATGGATGAAAGCACTGCAAAACGTTGTGCTTGATGTGGACTTGTGGAGGAAGGCAGTGGTAAAGCACCATTCAGAGACAGGGTAGGTACCTGTGCTAATGCACCGAACAGCAAAGGGACCAATCATTGCAGAGCCTGTGGAATCAGCCACAAAAACTCCAGATAAAGTTTTATAGAAGAAGTGAGGTTGCTCTGGGCATATTTCATGATAAAACTGAATTCTTTTCTTACTCTTTTCCTTACTCTCCCTGCCCCAGAGTTTCTCTTTAATTGGCTGCCTGTGGGACTGGCAAAATAAATGCCCACTGACACTCCAAACCTCACTCAAAAGGCAACTTCCGTTATTTTTATCTTTTTCTCCTGTAGGACAGTGAAACAGATATATTGATGATTATCATTCCTCCTACATTATTTTTAAATACAACCTACTCATTGCCAATTGTCGAAGAACAAGATTGGTAATTTCTACAAGAATATTTCCATATTTTCATATTTTTGTTCACTCTTTCGCTCTTTGACCAGGGCAGAAAGCAAGCACTAGAACTGTCTATATATTAGAATTAATGTGTTTCTCTGCTCAGTTTTAAATGCTTCTTTGTTGTTTACCCTTATAAAGAGAAGCTGGAATTATCTTTCAATGCCTTATCTAACACTGCTGACACAAACTGTTTCTAACCACTAACAAGACCAGAACGTACAAACATGCTTTGTTCTTAAAAATCTCTTCCCACTCTACGTAGGAACTTGGAAAGTAACAGGGCAAAAAATTCCATCCTGGTGAAAGAGTGACTACCTCTTTAATAAATTCAAATTCATTTATTTAGATTTCTTAATAAAAATTAACCTTGGGAAACTGAAGACAAATAGCTTAATTTACTTTATACCAGGCCATGCAATATTTAAGTTGTTATCAAGAGACAGTACTATCAGGAAAACTAAGGTTTGGTCATTCAGTCCACTGTCAAGACAGACTCCAGGTTTCTCTTGATGTTGTATCAACTGCATGTTTTCGCTTGCTAGCTGCTACATAAAAAATACTGGAATCAGAGATGTGAAGTGTCAGTAATTCCTACTGTGTGCATTTTTCTCCTTGCTGAGAGACTCACAAGATAGTCACAGCTGTACAGAATTGCATAATTAGGTCAACACAAAATTTTAAGATAAGCATGGCAGTTTCCTTCCTCCTCTATTTCCCCTGTCCTCCCACTTCCCAAGCACAGCACACCACTAATTGCACTTTCCACTTACTGATTTTACTTGAAGGCTTTTCAAGAGGATTGTCATTTCTAGCCTGCAATTCAAGACCATTATTCTCTTTGCAAAAGAATGAACTATATTGAACTGGAAATCCCACCCTCTAACTATTTATTAATATAGTTTTAAAGGAATTCTCAGATTTTTGTTGCTAACTGTTCACTTGCGTCGAAACGTGATGCACTTGTTGGCAGAGTTGCCCCAGAGGGACTGCAGTGAGACAGACTTACTCAAGCTTCACTTGAACACAGAAATGAAAATCAATAAACAATTTGAACTTCTCAGAAGAGAATTTTTCTCCTCTAATGAATATACAAGCTTGGTTACAGCTTAATTTAAAGATTGAATTCAGTGTGTATTTTTTCCCTGCACCAGGAGCATGACAAACACAAGCCTCAAGTGACATGTCCCAAAGGGAGACTCATTGTTTAAGAAAAAAAAAAAAAAAAAAAAAGGGCAAAAAAAGAGAAAAAAAACCCAAAAAAATAAAAAAGACCCTGGCCGCATGACAGTGAGCTAATTTAAAAATAAGGAAAACAGCATGCAGTGGGCAAAGAAATCTGCTTTGTAGGTGACTGCACAATTCCTAAACTTTTAGCTTCTGGTAGGGCAATTTTTTTGATACATGTATTTTTATTTGCGTTTCTAAGACTGCAAATTGGGACAGACTAAAGCATTGAGATGTGATTGTAAATTCTGTAGTAGCTGGAGAATGCTTGAATGCAGAACAAATGTGCTTGCACCTTTTGCTTTCAGCACTAGCAAATGTTAATAAAATCATTTCTGTAGCAATTAACACATTCAATATAGAAACTGGCTGAGGAATCATTGTTTCCAAAATAAGATTCATTTGGAATTAATTGTCAGAAAGGCTGTCACCTGGATGAGCTGCTGCATTGCTGTTTTTCAGAATTTCTGTGGAGTTATCAAACTGAACTGCTTTTGTCATCTGATAGTGCAACCTGGCAAAATGATCTGTTGAAAGATGTGAAAGTGATTGTGTACAGCATTACGTTATTTGTCTCATCAAGAAATAGATTTGGAAACTTTGATCTCATCTGTGTAACATGGAAAGCAGATAAGCCAGCTTTTAGATATAAGTGCAAAAGAGCTAAGTGGCAAATAAAAAGAGTCCCGAAAGCATGGTGTTTTTCTGAGAAAAAAAAAAAAAAAAAAAATAAAATTTAACTGGGTTGAAATCTACATTTTCAGGTATCTTGGACCAGATAAGCCCCCAGAGAATACATTTACAGCATTTACAGGGATAGTAGGTGTTTCAGCATTCCAAACCAAACAAGTTAGTCACTTTTTTTTTCTCCAGTAAAGAAAATCCTAAATTTCTCCAGCTCCTGAACTCTTTTTCATGTTTATAATCCTAACACCCCACTCAAAGGGATCTCTAAAGCTTTTCATTTAAACTACAATTATTCTTTTGTCTACTGGGAACCCAGTGCAAAGATGATGTCCTGTGTGCAAGAAGCAAGCAAGCTGAATATTAATTAATGAACGCTACTTAATATGCAGAAGAAGAGGAGCAACAATCAGTCGTGAGCCCTTACATATTAACTGGTAGATCATTGTTATTCTGGGAGGCATCATAAGGCCAATGCAGGTTACAACTAGTTTAGAAAATCTCCTTAATTAAGAAACATGAAAGTTTAAGTCTCATTATAAATATCTTATTGTGACCATAAAGACATCATTAAATGATGTGATAGTATAGCATTTTTAATGCACTCTGAGGTAATAAATTGGACTCAGGCTATTAATTTGTTTGGAGTGAGATTCAATAAACATAGAAAACACTGAGTTTTCACTATTCTCTCCCAAGGAAAAAGAAACAAGTCTTCCTTTTCCTAAAGGCCTGGGAAGCCACAAGCAAACAGATCTCCACAAAAGCCCTCTGCACAACGAGGTGGGCCAGGACTGATACAAGCAGGGGAGTCACTCAGCTCTTCTCTTTGTCACTTGCAATTACAATCAGCAGCCTGGCAGAACAGAGGAGAATATGCAAGTTGTTCTCCAATACTGTTTTATTTGCTAAATTGTCTGAGGCGAAAGATATACCATTCCCTTCAGCAAGGCTCAGTGCATGTTGATAAAGGAGGTTGGCCTTTATATTTCTATTTATCAGACTGGAAAGCAGATCTGTAACAACGAGGAGCCAGCAGCAGAGGTAGATCCATATGGCTATCCAGACAGGGTCTCTATACTCATTAATATTACTTTCCTCTCCAATGAATTAAAAAAAGTTAGTGAAACCTATGAATATTAAAATCACTGCAAGAATATATTTAAATAAGACTCCTACTTCCAATCTAGCAAGTCTGGTGACAGGACTGTCAAGAATCTACCATTTGTTACCTCATGGAAACATCCAACAACTAAAACTAAACCAATGCACTGTAATGAAAAGAAAAGAAAATTAATTTCAAATCCGTTGCTTCCCAGTATGCCCGACTGTGAGAAAGACAGCAGCAATAGAAAGAATCAAATTCATTTCTCAACTCTGTGTAAAGTTAACAATTGATGACAACAGCCCTTTTAGCAAAGAAGGGAGCAGTGCGTATCGATTCAGCTTTTAATGTTGTACAGTGAATTGTACTTTCCTGCATTTGCAGTATGATAGTAAACAACACAATACTTTTATGATACATTACATAAAAATAGCTTTTTACTTGCTGACAATAAAAGGCTTCTCTGCCAAACACAGTTCCGCTCTGAACAGTTATTCAAATGGCTCTAACAGGAACAATTTTGACAGGCAGATAAGATGTAAGAAAATCTTATATGATAGACTTCTTTCTATAATAAGCTAATTCTTCTACAATAAACTAAAAAAAAAAAAAAAAAGT